TTTTGTCCTGTTGTTATTGGTGAGCGAAGCAAACAGCTCCCCCTTGCCTGCTGGACTAAATCTGTGTACTTAGCAGTCTTTCTGTCTGCAGCATTCACTTTCTCTCTCTGCAGGCAGCTGAGTCGTCACCTGGTGGGACTCTGGGTGACTGGGAACCCCACTGCTAATGCCCTCCTCCACAGAGTACTGGTATATACTCCACTCTTCCTTCTCTCTCTGTCCCATTGTATTCTGTTTAATACGTACATGTGAGCGTCTTCCCTAGCTCCACAGAATCTGGCACTCTCCTTCTCTCTCTCTCTCTCTTTGTCCTATTGTTGGCAAACAAAGCGAGCCTGCCTAGTTCATCTGAATGTATCTTTCTCTGTCTGCATGTGACGGGCACTGCACAGCACGACGTGTGTCTCTATAATATCCTACAGCCGCTGGGTCTAATGCAGTGCTATAGTACGACGTGTGTCTCTATAATATCCTACAGCCACTGGGTCTAATGCAGTACTATAGCACGACGTGTGTCTCTATAATATCCTACAGCCACTGGGTCTAATGCAGTACTATAGCACGATGTGTGTCTCTATAATATCCTACAGCCACTGGGTCTAATGCAGTACTATAGCACGATGTGTGTCTCTATAATATCCTACAGCCACTGGGTCTAATGCAGTACTATAGCACGATGTGTGTCTCTATAATATCCTACAGCCACTGGGTCTAATGCAGTACTATAGCACGATCTGTGTCTCTATAATATCCTACAGCCACTGGGTCTAGTGCAGTACTATAGCACGATGTGTGTCTCTATAATATCCTACAGCCACTGGGTCTAATGCAGTACTATAGCATGATGTGTGTCTCTATAATATCCTACAGCCACTGGGTCTAGTGCAGTACTATAGCACGATGTGTGTCTCTATAATATCCTACAGCCACTGGGTCTAGTGCAGTACTATAGCACGATGTGTGTCTCTATAATATCCTACAGCCCCTGGGTCTAGTGCAGTACTATAGCACGATGTGTGTCTCTATAATACCCTACAGCCACTGGGTCTAGTGCAGTACTATAGCACGACGTGTGTCTCTATAATATCCTACAGCCGCTGGGTCTAATGCAGTGCTATAGTACGACGTGTGTCTCTATAATATCCTACAGCCACTGGGTCTAGTGCAGTACTATAGCACGATGTGTGTCTCTATATATCCTACAGCCACTGGGTCTAATGCAGTCTTAAAGCAAACCAGCGCCCGCCCGCCCACCCCAGGGTACACTCCCTGGCAACGAGCAACCGCCCACTGGGGCCGTCCCTCTCCCGCCAAAACTCGTCGATCAGAAGCACGATGTGTGTCTCTATAATATCCTACCAGCCACCGGGTCTATGCAGGACTATAGCACGATGTGTGTCTCTATAATATCCTACAGCACTGGGTCTCGTGCAGTACTATAGCACGATGTGTGTCTCTATATAATTCTACACGCCACTGGGTCTAGTGCAGTACTATAGCACGATGTGTGTCTCTATAATATCCTACAGCCGCTGGGTCTAATGCAGTGCTATAGTACGACGTGTGTCTCTATAATATCCTACAGCCACTGGGTCTAGTGCATACTTATAGCACGATGTGTGTCTCTATAATATCCTACAGCCACTGGGTCTAGTGGCAGTACTATAGCACGATGTGTGTCTCTATAATTATCCTACAGCCACTGGGTCTAATGCAGTACTATAGCACGATGTGTGTCTCTATAATATCCTACAGCCACTGGGTCTAATGCAGTACTATAGCACGATGTGTGTCTCTATAATATCCTACAGCCACTGGGTCTAATGCAGTACTATAGCACGATGTGTGTCTCTATAATATCCTACAGCCACTGGGTCTAGTGCAGTACTATAGCACGATGTGTGTCTCTATAATATCCTACAGCCACTGGGTCTAGTGCAGTACTATAGCACGATGTGTGTCTCTATAATATCCTACAGCCACTGGGTCTAATGCAGTACTATAGCACGATGTGTGTCTCTATAATATCCTACAGCCACTGGGTCTAATGCAGTACTATAGCACGATGTGTGTCTCTATAATATCCTACAGCCACTGGGTCTAATGCAGTACTATAGCACGATGTGTGTCTCTATAATATCCTACAGCCACTGGGTCTAATGCAGTACTATAGCACGATGTGTGTCTCTATAATATCCTACAGCCACTGGGTCTAGTGCAGTACTATAGCACGATGTGTGTCTCTATAATATCCTACAGCCGCTGGGTCTAATGCAGTATCTCAAGTCCAATGAGAAAGTTCCGGAAGAGGCAGACCGCATGCACGTCAGAGACAACCTCAAGGCTGTACAGGTATGTAGTGCAATATCCCCTTCTGTCGTCTTTGTTCCTTCATTCTTGGTTAGCCACTTTCTATTGTACAATTCTCACCTACCTGTCTCTCTGACAGTCACCAGAATCCATGTTGGTTGGTAATTGGTGGTGAACCATGTACAGTGAGAAGGTCCCTCTGAAGAATAGTTAGCCGGCCACTTACTAATACATCAGTATCATTATTGGACCGTGTCCCCAAAGTGTCCCTTGTTCAGCAGTTTCACTGTATAGGTAGGGTGACAAGTATGTTGTTTAAAGGAAACATGTCAGTACATAATGGCTGTAGCAATTAGGGCCAAGTGCAAACATGCAATTATTTTTAGTAACAGTTTCTAAATTTAGCCCTTACGTATATACTGTCGCATTGCCTTTACCGTCCCCTCCCTTGGCCCCAGACCCTGTCCAAGCGAAGGATCAACAAACTGGAGTTGACACTCATCCACTGGCGAACCAGACTTCGCTCCAAACCACAGAGAGACACAACTGCCCAGCGACCGGTGACCCTGAGGAAGAGACGACAACAGATCAAGACGGAAGATAACTGGCCTCTATTCTACTACCAGTTCAACGAGGACCACTCGCTGTCTACCCTCATCTGGAACTACAAGGTTTCTACAATGTTTTTAACAACGCACCTACATCTTTTAAAACACCCGATTGATGTGTGATCGATTTTTTGGGAAAGGTTTTGTTTGTAGTGGTTGGTATGAATGCTGCGTCCAAAATGCAGTAGATACCATCTGTACTCCATCACCATAATACCGGCCATTGCAGTACAATTACTATGTATACATGTATTGTGACTTGCGTGGGCGGATCAAAGTTGCCGCGCATACTTTTATTTTCCGTATTGTAGTCGCATTCAATATGGCCAATATTGAACGTTCAATACAAAAATTAATCATCAGCATCATACACATAGTGTAGACAAAAACTGTTCTGTAGAGGCTGTAGAGGCGAGGGATGACTGTTCTGTAGAGGCTGTAGAGGCGAGGGGTGGCTGAGGCGACCACACCCCTTCATTCAGCTGCCAGTGGCAAGCGAGACGGTGGCCGCGGCACACCGACCGGTCAAATGGCCCAGCGACCTATGAAACGAGTTTCTCTGAGGAAGAAAGAGCCACCATCACGACCTTGTTCGATTACGGTAGCCTCGAGAACAGAGAACTCACTCTAGAAGCCAGCAAGTGCGCACGTGCGCATGGGTAGTAGGCTACGCAGTCGTATTTCTCTCGCTGGAGGTCGACGACTGCTACAAAGTCACAATAAAACACATAATGTGCGTCCTATCGTTCTATACATGACTAGAAAAGTCGACCACACCCCCGTTCCCATAAATCACATATAGAACTCTAAACGCACATTATCTCTTACTAAAAGCACTCCTTATACATTCACTATGGCACTACAGCGTGCCATACCCACAAGCTAACTGGGTTGGTAAATTTCTTCACGAAATGTTGCTTTGGGTGATTGAGTGGGTTTTAGTTGTCGGTTACCTAGTTTCCGCATCCAAAAGGGCAAACAGCTCACATCAAGCGCGAAAACGAGAAAAGAGAAAAGCGAGAAGAGAGACAGAGAGCGAGACAAGAGCCATTAGCCTCTTCCCCATCTCCCCTCTCTCCCCTCTCCCCTCTCCCATCTCCTCTCTTCCAGGCTACCTAAGAGAGCTCACCAAACTGAACGTCCAGTCCAATCGCATCACTAGTCTCCCCAGGGGCCTCGGGTGAGTCCGTTACCATGGAAACAGTCACCACGGTGATGTTACATAACCACCCCATGTCCAGGTTGTTACTGAACCTCCAACACCTCAGTGCAGGCGAGAACAAGCTGAGATAGGATACCAGCTGAGATAGGTCTGCCCCTCCCCTCTTTCCATTCCTCCCTCCCATCCTCCCTCCCTGCGTATATACCTCACTTTTTAATTTGCCAGCAAAGTCAGCCTAACTAGTCGTCTGGATGCCTGATGACGGGCACTCCTATACCGTAATATTCTACGTCATTCTACATACCCACATAGATTGAACGGCTCGCACTCACTCGCCAATAATGTGTTCCTTCGTTCTAGTATACATTTCCTCCCCTCACCCCACCCCAGGTACTCTGGAGAACCTGGAGGAGCTGTACATCAACGACAACCCCAACCTGCAGTCCCTGCCCTATGAACTGGCCCTCTGCAAGAAGCTTGCCCTCATGAGTGTGGAGGGCTGTCCGCTCACAAGACTCCCTCCACACGTCGTCGATGGGGGACCCTCCTCAATTATCCAGGTACTTTATCGCCTCAGTTTCTGTGTTAATGAAGAACACACAATACTGCATATACATAGGTTTGTTGCAGTATGGCTACTATATGCCTGGACACTGCCTGGTGCATTCTTATTGGCTGTTGCACGTCAAATATACTAAAAAAGACGCTCCAAATAAAGGACATCTCTATAAGGGACACTTCGTTCTGCCTCGTGTATATACATTAGTGCATCTCTGGGAATTCTTCCAAAAAAGGACGGCCTCTGAATAAACAATGGCCTGAAGTTGGTATTCATAAACTACATTTAGGGTGTTTAGCCTAGTTGAGTTATAATTATTGAGCTTGCATGGAAGTTAACCCTTTCTTTTATATACCATCTCCTCTCTCCTTCCCTCTTACAGCATCTCAAGTACCAGGGTCCTTATCGTGGCCTACACTGATTTGAACTTTGCACCTGTTGCCATGCCTACTACTGTGTGCATCACAACAACACGAAATGATATTATTTTGTTATTGAGTTTGTAACTATCTATTCTGCACCCTTTTGTTTAGTTAGTTTTTCACCCTCAAATAGTACTTTTTGTACCGCTGGTGTGCGATTCAATCATGTAACATGTCCATTTGTTAGATACATACATGATTATGATCGATTTCTTGTTTACTGCGCATGCCTATGGATAGGATGCTGTGTATTGTATATAACTCCTGCTACATATTATTGTTGACACTTTACCTAAACACCAGTGGGGTCCACACTCCACTCTTTGGACTTATTCTTTGGGCCAATAATAGTTCAGTGTAACGTAAAGAGAATAGTTCTAACCATTAAGCGTAATGATGACGTAATATTCGCAAAGAGCTTCATGATTAATTCATTTTTAAGGGCTGGGGAATGAGTTATGCACACAGGGGAGAACCACAGAAACGACAATCGACTTTATGCGTCATTCCACTTAGTTATTGATTTTCTCGACTCCTTTTTTTCACTCTGCAGCAGCAGTTCTCGCAGCTCTCTATCCTTGCAAGAATACAATATCATCTGCTTGGTCGTGATACAACCCGTCAGCCGGGGACGACGAAGTTGACTGTTTAGTACGCATGCGCATGGGCTGAGGCTGGTCCAAGAGTTTGTGCGAGTGTCTTGACCTTCGTACCTTCAAGGTTTCACGTGAGTGTAGAAGAGATTCATGGACGTTCCTCTACGAAGGGTGTTCTTGACTGTCAAGCCATAGCCTAGCTAGCTGCGAGTAAACTGAGCTGATAAGCTTTCATCTAGTGGCTTCCCTGGCCTCCTCGCGCAGGTAGAGAGTGTGTGGAGGACCGAGGAGCGGGGAATGGCGCAGGGGAACGAAGACGTGGCCAAGTTCTACTGCACCAAGCACTCGTGGAGGGGCAAGTGAGTCTGGCGAGGAGGGGGCGGGTGGCTGCTGGGGCAGCTGCGTGCGCGCAGGAGGCTCGCTGAGGGCCGGGGAGAGAGTTGGGGGGAGGGAGAGGGGAGGGGCAAAGTGGATTAGTGCAGTTGTGTGGGTGTGCGTGCATGTGATAGTGTCTGCGAGCAGCGCATTAGAGACAGACAGCACAACCACTCAGGACACCCTGTACATGTCTACGATGCATACACACAGACGATGTGTGTGTGTCTAATACCAGTAATCAACCCACTTTTCCCTCGCTAATGTGAGGGGGAGAGAGGCAATCACTTCTCCTTGAGAGCCCCTTGACGTTTAGGCTAACCTTTCATTGCACACAGGACAGGGCTTTCGCCACCTCTCTTTGTAATAAATATCCATTTGTCATTATAAATGAAGGAGTGATATATTTAGAGTGAGCTAGGTTCGAATTGACCAATCAGACTGCCAAAAAGGCCGATGTTTACAGTTCCTGTAGTAAACCTCGACGGCTGGCCCTCAGGGGCACCACAATGGTGGACTCTTGGCTTTCTACTGCACATATATAGTTACCTTGAACTAACTAACTAACTTATATGTACATCATCTCCCTTGACCTTCTTGATCTGGTGTGTCTGTGCTATAATGTACAGGTACAAGAGAGTGTTCTCCATAGGGACCAAGGCAATCACTACATACAACCCCAACACTCATGAAGTCACCAATCAGGTGAGGGGACGTGAAATATCCAGCCAACACTGGTAGACAACTCATGTTCATCTGTTTCCGTTGAGAAAGAATGCAACACTATGCAGTACTGTAAAGGCTCACAAGGGAGAGTATATGGGTCATTGGTCTGGGACCTCCCGATCATACTTGCTCTCTCTCCCTCTCTCTCCCTCCTCCCTCCTCCCTCCCTCCCTCCCTCCCTCCTCCCTCCCCCCCTCCGTCTCTGTCCAGTGGTGTTACAATGAGTTTTGTGGGGGTATTGCTCCTAGTCCCAAGGCCAGCAATGAATTCATCATCACCATGAAGAAAGGTATGCTACACCACTTCATCTCCACTAGCCTGGTTTTGCCTACTCTTTTATTCAACTATCCCTTGATTCATGCTTCCTGCACGATGGAATCCCCTCATATAAGGACACCTTTCCCCAAGAACAGCTCTTTGTATGCAAATTTAACCCCTGAAAGTTCACTATAATATGGATATATACTTTCTTCTGTCCCACTGGTGTCCCAATTGGTTCCATGTTGTCCTTTCCTCAGGAAGGAAGACTCAGCAGATGACCTTCTCGACTGAGTTCAGACCTGAGGTCCTCACTCGCACTCTGGTCAGTCCACACCTCTGCATCTCATTGACTTCACATCCCTCCCTCCTCCAACTCACTTCTTGCTCCCTCCCTTTCTCTGCTCCCTCCCCTCTTTGTAAATGGGCACACACACAAGCACCTCATTACCATAATTATGTAGTTCATGACACCCCTCCCTCTCTCCCTTCTCCCTCACTTCCCCTCTTCCTCCTCCCTCTCTCCCTTCTCCCTCACTTCCCCATTTCCCCTCTTCCTCCTCCCTCTCCCCCTTCTCCCTCACTTCCCCATTTCCCCTCTTCCTCCTCCCTCTCCCCCTTCTCCCTCACTTCCCCATTTCCCCTCTTCCCCCTCCCTCCCTCCCTCACTTCTCCCTTGCTCGCCCTCTCACACCTCTTTCCCCCCCTCCCCTTCCCTCCTTGTCGGTGTGTGCAGATGTTCAGTCCGTTGTTCTGTGAGCAACCTCGAAATGAAACAGACAAGGTCAGCTATACATCCTTTGACTCCATACTTCCCCTAGTATGACTCCCTCTATGGTGTGTATATGTGTACAGAGGTTTGATGCAGCCAAGTTCCACTGGGACGAGGCCAAAGTCAAGGTCCTCCTAGTGGTGAGTGGAGAGAACGAGCTAGGCCTACAGAGTCCCTAGCCCTGGATTCCCTCCTTCCTCTTCCTGCCACCCTCTTATGTAAAACCTCTGAATATGGGGCACCTTTGGGACATTATAAGTGTCCTTTATTCAGGGCGTCCCTTTTTTGCATGCACTGAAGTATTAGTGTGGGGCAGAGGGCAGTACCAAGTGTCCTTTATAAAGAGGTGTCCGTTATTTGAAGGGTAAAGTGTTAGTATGGGGCAGACTTTAGAGAGGTGTCCGTTATTTGGAGGGTCACGTGACTAGTTTCCATTCACTCACTTCTTTCTCTGCCCTTCATCGTTTGTCTTCTCTGGCAGGTTCGCAGGTACTGTGTGAGTCAGGTGGACATCACTGGCCACACTCTCACTGACTACAAGTACAAAGACATCGAGTACATGGCAAAGGTTCAGGTTACACTATACTCTCACCGTGTTTTGTCCCTAACTGATGGGAGAATGAGTAGACCAAACAACAGTGGTGTGGGTAGAGTGTGGCAGTGTGGAGTGTAGCTTGCTAAGAAAATGTAAGACAGTGTGGAGTGTAGCTTACTAAGAGAATGTGAGACAGTGTGGAGTGTATGATGTTCATACTGTACATCTGACTTCTTGTGTCATGTGTAATGGTGTTCAACAGGTTGCAGATCATCCGGGAGCCTTTGTTGTGGCTGCTGGCGGATTTGGACGACTGGTGAGTATGTATATAGAATAAGCTGAACACTTCCTTCCTCTCCCCCCCCCCTCCTCTTCCTCCTACCTCCCCTCCCTTCTCTCCTTTCCTCTCCCTCCCTCCCTTCTCTCCTTTCCTCTCCCTCCCTTCTCTACCTCCTCCCTCCCTCCCTCCCTCCTATCCCTCCCTCCTCTCCTTCCCTCCCCTCCCTCCCTTCTCTACCTCCTCCCTCCCTCCTCTACCTCCTCCCTCCCTCCTCTCCTTCCCTCCCTCCTTCCCTCCCTCCTCTCCTTCCTTCTCCCCCTCCCTTCCACAGCACATGTTCCTGACAGAGCAGAGAGATGATGTCATGAAAGCCATAATCCTTGCCTCTCGCAGCAACATTGGATACGAGATAGCGTCAGTCACTCTCACACTCACTCCATTATATGCTGCACCACTTCTTACATTCTGTTGTCTGAGGTCAGGAGAGGTATATGTGTACATACATAGGAGGAATGTGAAACCAACAGGCGAGCTCATTGTCTGAAGATTGGGAATTTAACTCGACCGAAGTAATTCTTCCTTCTCTCTCCTGACCACAAACAACTTAACATACACTCATCTACCATTACCAAAGGGATAAGATTGTCTCTTCCCCTCCCCTCTCCTCAGTGTTCACAGAGACCTCATCACACAGCATGACTTCCTGGAGAGGAGACTCGGCAAGTACAGGTATGACCTAATCCCATGGCCATCATTGTACACATACCACTGGTGCATGTAGATTTCACTTATCAATCCACACACAGTTTTCTCATTTTAAACAAGTAAATGAAGTGAAAAATTGTTCCCTAAGTGGGGAATATACAAAAATTAAAAAAATCGGTGTCTCTCATTTAACTGCTCTCCTTCCTGCTTTTTCACAGTGATGATGACTCCATTACGTCACTTACAGAGTTCAAAGTTCAGAAACACACTCCTAGATACCTGGTCAGTGGGTGATGATGTAATGTCGTGTGATCATCACATGACCATCATGTGTCAGGAGCCGGCTCCGAGGATCCTGGCCTCTCAGAGAAGCTGTTATAATAGAGAGAGACCCCTCCACTTACATTGTCGTTACCATACGACCACTCAGTGAGGTACAGTGTATATGTATGTATAGAGATGTTGTTAGTCTGATTGATCTGTTGGTGTCTGTTGCCATGGTGATGTATGTGCAGGTGTTTGCTCTGATTCGCTCACACCAATGATCCCCAGAGGTTCAGCATTGAGTACGTCAATGGCATCGTCAGGAAATACAGTGCTACTGAAAGGTGCGTTTCTCTTCACCATGGAAATTTGAGCAGTATAGTGGAACCTGACACCAATGGGACCAAAGAAGTGCCCATGATAAGTTGGTGTCCTTTTCAGGGGTTATTGCATGCAGAATCGTAAAGAAAAAAGTTTCCTCTTTAGAGAGGTGTCCTCGTTTTGGGGTATCCTTTTGGAAGAGTTACACTGTGTGTGTAATGTTTGCTTAGACTTTCGTATACACATCCACCTCACCCCCCTCCCCTCTCTCCTCCCCTCCTCCCCTCATCCCGCCATCCGGCTCTCTCCCCTCCTCGCCCCTCTCCCCTCCTCTCCTCCTCCCCCTCTCCCCTCCTCTCTCTCTGTCACTGCCAGAGATGCCCTGCTGTGCAGTATCCTGGATGGAGTGAGGGCCAGTGGGAACAGAGACGTCTGTGTGAAGATGACACGCACCAACCGAGGCCAGAGACTGGGGCCACTCCATCTGCCTGTGGAGGAGGAGGTAGAGAGCCAGTACCTCAAATACCTCGTCAACACTCCTCCATGTGAGTCATGTGACCTTTCCTGTGAGTCATATGACCCTCTGTGTGAGTCATGTGACCTTCCCTGTGAGTCATGTGACCCTCCATGTGAGTCATGTGACCTTACCTGTGAGTCATGTGACCCCTCCCTGTGAGTCATGTGACTCCTCCCAGTGAGTCATGTGACCCTCCCTGTCAGTCATGTGACCTTTCCCTGTGAGTCATGTGATCTGCTTTGAGTTACAATGTGATCCTCGATGTACAAGTGTGGCCTTCCCTTGTTAATCATGTGATCCTTCCAGTGAGTCATGTGACCTTCCCCTGTTAATCATGTGACCATTTCAGTGAGTCATGTGACACCCTCTATGACTCATGTCACCACAGTCATGTGACTCTCAAATTATGGTCGTAATACTCTGTCTATAATACATTTCTTGCTCGATTCTATGGTAAACGTGCCTCCTATCCTCATTCTCTTACCCCCAGCGGTGCAGTTCCATGAGGCAGTGGAGAAGTTCAACTCCAACGTGGTTTACAGTGGCCTCAACCATGCAGTGTCTTCTGAGGTCGGGCATTCGTGAGAACCCCTTGTCGGTTTCATGTGAAATTTGCCGTTGATTCTCACGTCTCCCACTGTTTTCAGCCCTCTTGGCCATAGGGCATAAATTTGTCATGGGCTCTAAATTTCGAGATTGTAAAAATCCCTATCCTGGTAAAATACATAAAATACATGGAACTGATGGCTTTGATGCAGTATTCCACGAACTTGGTTTTGGTATATACACATTCAGTTGAAATTTCAGCTTCTCTTCTTTCTCCCCCTCCACACCCTCCACTACCCACACACACCCACACACCACCACCCACACCCACATACACCCCACACACACCCCCCTCCCCCTCCACACACATCCTCCCCCCCCCACACACACCCCCACACACCCCCTCCCACACACACACCGTCTGTACTCAGGGTATGTTTCAGAGAACAGGAGAAGCTCATCAAAGGATCCCTCACACCCACTGCTGATGAAGGAAGGAGACCAGAATTCCCTCCCAAATGACAGACTAGAAGAACAGTTCCATGCCCTCAGAGACTAGTGGCCTCCAAGGCTGGCTACGAGGCCTTCACCTCCCTCACCAAGTGAGACGCTACCCGTATTGCTGGACATTTACTAGGGAGAACACTTTAGTAATTTAATAACCAACAATTTTGCAGGTGCTGGTCCCGCAATACAAATATCCCCTCAATTTTCACAGATGAAATTGTCATTGACTGTTCAAAAATTGTGAAATTCACCCCCTCAAATGTTTCGCACTATGCGGTGTGTGTTAGCTATGTATGTAGTCCTGAACTTGCTGCTACTGTATCTTGGCTGTAAGTGCATGTGATATGCTATGCTTACTCTGGTAGACTTAGCACACCGTACCTATTTCTCCTTGTCTATGTATGTACGGTACCCTCTTAGTTTGACAGCAAGTAGGGCAGCAAGTCCATTAAATCGACATATCGTTTGAGACTCAGTGACTATACACTCTTTAGGACTTCAGTGACACATTATATGTATACGCAAGCCCCGTTTACACGGACAAAATTGAATCGGTTTGGAAACTGCTTTACAAATCGCGTCCCGTTTACACATCCCATTTCCCATTCATGATTTAGGCTAAATTGGTTTACGAACTGGTTCAAACTTTCCATGTAAACGGGGCTGTAGATGTCAGGACTACAGTCGCACATATACATATACAGTACGTAGATGTCATGGCGAGCTGTCTACAATTACACTTGTTTTCATCCGCCCATCGGTTGCTCATGGAAATGAGCGCCAAGGGGGAACACACATACATACATACATACATACTTCAGTAAGCGCAGTTTGAACTCTATCATATTTAGCAAACACATTTTCATGTGCGAGTAACCCATACCCCCTCTCTCTCTCTCGTCTCAGTTTCAGGGAGATAGTTGGGAAGAAGGTGGTTCGAGCCCTCCGCAGGAAGGACGACGGGATCAGCCATGCCTCTGTGGACTTCTTGTGCGCCCTCATGCAGCCCATGCACGACAACTACGACCTGAGACAGGAGCAGATGAACAAGTCCTCTCTCCTCTCCAGCAAACCGTTCCTGGAGATGGTGCTGGAACCTCTCAAGACACACGTGGTGAGTAAGACCACACCACTGGTATATGTAGAGCTCACTGCACTCTAGTGGACATAATTCTCTGATTTTGGACCCAGTTTACGAAAGGCCAACATTTATACTGTAGCACAACTTTGAAGTGTGAGACAAAAGTCTGAGGCAACTTCAATGTATGAGTATGTATGATAGTCCATGCAACAAGTTGCGTGCATTAGACAACACTCCTCCTTTCAAGCAACATGTTGCGTGAACCATCGTACCCATACATTGAATCTTTTGTCTCATGCTACATAGTTGCTCTGTGTGTATGTTGGCCGTAAGACACCAGGGGTAGAATCTCCACTTCATTTCAATGCTACGATAGCCCTATATTTGCTACACCAAATGAAAAGCACTGAAGTGCAAAACCTCGGCGCATTGTGACGCGCACGTGTAAGTAAATGCATGTGCCGTACCACTAATTGATGGGCTCGGTTTAGTTTTAGCTGTTACTCGTGGTCTCTGGCCAGCTCGCGCAGAGTCTGACGCGGGCTAACTACACTACTAGATAGCATGTGAGAGGCGATAAGTACACGCCCTGTGTTGCATCTTCTGGTGCCTCTGAGGTACGCAGAGTGCGGATCGATAAGACCGTGATAGCTATCTCGTCCGTTGTGTATTTGCATATTGGATTTTTTCGCGCTGTAGCTCTGCAACGGAGCAGTTTCAGAGAAAACCGCACATATTTTCTGACCTTCATTTCCCGTTAAGTAGGTCGTATACTTTGTGAAGCGAACAAACACCCGAGAAGTGGACAGACAGACAGACAGACCCAACTACCGTAACCCTCGCTGCGCATGCGCGCCGAGGGTTAAAAACCCTATCCTTGACCCACTATAGATTCCCTGAGTGAAGAGTGTGTTGTACTAGGAGTGAGACTAATGTCTCTTGGGCACTTCACCTCTAGTAGAAATGATGATTCTCCCATTGTTAGACCCAGTTACGAAGGCCTACTTACTTTAATATGTAATTAGGAGTGAGAGTGATGTAATGTTCAGTGGATAACAGCCAACGTTTATTTCTCCACAGCAACTTGGGACAGGAGCACTGGTAGTCAGCTCCATCCTCGATTTCTTCACATTTGCCGTCTGTCCTCCCTACAGGTTTGTACTGTACATACAGTATAATATATACACACTACAAGGAAATGGTAACATACGTATGTAAGGGCTAAGTTTACTAAGAGGATGTGACATTAAAGTTACTATCTAATTCAGGCCTTATAGACTGACACAATCCCGTTAAGAACATATTTACTTATCAGAATAAAAGGACTAATATTTAAATAGTACAACTTTAACGTCACTTTCTGTTTACATACATGTACGCTGTACATGTGGTATGACTAATTGTACTGATGTGTGGTATTACATCTCTACTTTCAGTGAGACAACTGAAGCAGAGAAGTTTGACATGGTTTTGGAGCTCATTTCTGGTCTGTCTCCATTATTATTACATATATTCAGTACATATCTCCATTATAATACATACATAGAGTACATCTCCATTATATTACATACATACAGTACTCATTCATCTGTATAATCAATTGTTATTTTCCCTGTAAATATACATACTCTCCCTACTTTACAATAGTCATGGTTTATTGAAGGATGCTGCACACATGGAAGTTTACAATAAGTTTACCACTGGTGTGGTGAGTATAATGTTAAATATTCTCTCCCTCTGCAGGTCTGGGAAGAACAGTGTTCAAACTCTTTCAGGTATTAAATGTAATATGGAGGAAATAAGGTTTGAACATTGCTTTGCAAGTTGAACCACATACACCTACAACCTCGACAACCTGCTGAGCTCAGCTAGTTGAGCGCTCACCTAGACTGCAGACTGTCCTGGGTTCGAATCCCACCCAGGGCAACTATTTTTTTCTTGTAGTTGTGTAGTTTTATTTATCTTTGCCATGCAGCCTGTTGTTAACACATGTGTAAATAGCTCTTTACATTTGCTCAGTCAATCTTTATTTATTTTCTCTTCCTCAGCACCCTTCTCTGGCCATCGTGAAGGCTGCTGGACTCATCATGAAGGCCATCATTGAGGTGAACATTACATCATCATTACATCACTGTCTGTCCACGTGTGTTGGGTGTGGTCTCGCCAGGAGGGGACGCCGGAGATGGCGAAGAAGATGCAGGACCTGGCGCTGGCAGAGGGAGCTCTCCCCCGGCACCTCCACACCTCCCTCTTCACCGCTTCCAGCGACAACAGACTCCTCACTCACAGGTCAGAGGTCAACTCCTGACCACACCCCTATATTGACATGCGTAAGGCTAGAGCAAGCTCACATTGAAACCCTGCCTTGTACAGGTTAACCAGCTTGTATGTAGATACCACCCACACACACAATGTACATAAGGAAGCACTGTCCAAAAGCTTCCTCTGCGGGGATGTGCAGTGAGGATTACTTCGTTTGCAAATGTGTGTGTGTGTGTGTGTGTGTCGGTTTTTTTGCAATGTGGAGTGGCCAGTCCTTCAATTAGCAGTATGGTATTTGGGGAGCGAAGCGAGCCTACGTAACTAGTTGGGGGTTTCTATGTATATCTCTTATTGCCGAGCGCGTTAGCGTGAGGCAACTACTCCGGGTTGTATTCTCGCGATATGCGTACGTACGTACGTACGTGTCCGTCACGCTTAAGAATGTCAATTAGTCATGCTTAGGAATGTCAATTTCCTCATACGCCCAGATTCGTAGTAAGTCTGGCTTCGCGCGCAGTCAGTAGAGCGCGTGCACGAGCGGCCTCAGTCGGACTGTTTACGCATTGGCTGGCAGGCGCGAGGCAAAATATGTGTGTGCGCATTCCTAGTTTATTTATATGTGATGGGCACTGCACATATTACATGATTCTAAATACGCACTAGAAATTGAACGCAATTCCCACATATGCGCGAAATATTGAACTGCTCGTATTAGCTCCCTGCATTTGTTCTAGTTACACCAGCCAGTATGCTCACAGTTTAGATCTATCATTGATCAGTGTGTTTGACACACTGGGTAATGTGTGTTTGACCTACTGATTGGTCAGTCCTACAATCAGACCACTTGTTTCAGTATTCATGATCTCACTAGAATCTCCAAATAAGGTCAGGCACGCAAGCAGCTCCAGATCTCAGGCTGTGAATATTGGTAGAGTGATTAGAAAGTCAAGGACTGTTTCCTGTCAGCCTCAGTTTCACCCATTTCTTGGGAGTTAGCCCACCACCCTTGCTTGCTTCTTTCTTGAGCAGCTTGCTTGCCTCAGTCTTCACTAGACCCTCTCTCTAGCTTGTCTGCTGCACTACTCACAGAGCCATGGCTGCCAAACCCTCCACTGCTGCCGAGAAAGCTCTCCAGAAGATCCAGGACCAGGTCACCTGTGGGATATGTCTGGAGCCCTACAAACAGCCGAGGCTGCTCAAGTGTTTCCACGTGTATTGCGAGCAGTGCCTGCAACGTCTGGTACGTGGGGGACGAGAGGGACAGAGTCTCCCATGTCCACAATGTCGCCAGGACACTCCACTGCCAGTGGGCGGAGTCCCGGGGCTCCAAGGAGCCTTCTACATCCACTACCTCTTCGACATCCAAGACGCCCTCAAGAAAGTGAGCTCCAGTGAACAAACAATGTGCAACAAGTGCAAGAAATTCGAAGCTGTTTGTTTTTGTCGCACTTGCAGGTTTGCATGCCAGCGCTGCAAGGAAATCCATCAAGATTGGGAAGAATTAAAAACCCACGAATTTATCGACCTAAACACCTTGACAGAGGATGTGACAACCCTCGTTCCTCCTCTCAAGAAGACTCTGTTTTGTACCACTCATCCGTCAAAGAAGGCAAAGCTCTACTGCGAGACGTGCGACGAGTTGATATGTCGAGACTGCATCGTTCGTGTTCATCGCGACCACCAGTACGATCTGGTGCCCGAGTCATTTGCCAAGCAAGAGAAAGTGATCGTGGACTCTCTCAAGCCAGTGGAAGAACAGATTGCTACGTTAGAAAGAGCCATTGAGTCGGTGGGCACTCGATGTACTGCAGTCGTAGAACAGAAGACGGCTGTGGTGGCAGAGATCCGGACTGCCATGGCACACCTGCGACAAGCTCTAGAGGCGAGGGAGACAGAGCTGGTGGGTCAAGCTGAGCAGGCAGCACAGCAGAAACTGAAGACCTTGGCAGCACAGCGAGACGGTTTGAACTGCAACTGCGCCAGCTGAGGAGCTGCCAGGACTTTGTGGAGGAGAGCCGACGTACTTGCAGCCAGGGGAGATTCTGAGGATGAGAGTCCTCTCGTTAACAGTCAACAACAACCTGACAGGCAGCTTAAAGCCGGAGACATTGGCTCTTGCCGAGCAAGCCGACCTGAATTTGCTCACATCTGCCTGAGCTTGTGACATCTTGCCAGGAGTGGTAAGGTGTACTGTCATCCAGTGTGCCCTGAGAGGTCGAGCCTCAGGTGAAGGCATCAAGTAGCCACGAGAGGGCAACACAGCTATCTCTGTGGAGGCTTTAGATAGAGAGGAAAAGCCTGCCTCAGACTGAGACAGCTTGAGGTGTGAGCTAGTTGTCTAGCAATGACAGCAGTCGAGTCAGGGGCACTGTGAAGAGAAGAAATCAAACATCACTACATCAGCTACCGACCTCAGGTCGCTGGAGAACATCAACTACACATTCTAATATAAGAGCACCCGACCTTGAACTGTCGTTTACTGTCACCGTTCTACCCAACTTCACTCTCACGCCACACCACATCATTGGAGACCTCAATGCAACCATATGTATAGCAGTTTAGGGAGGGAGATGAGGTTGTAGTAGCAGAACGGAGTGTCACTGCATATCAATCATCAGTGGTAATGGACGAAGAAATCATTTGGTACTCCTGCTCAGGTCCTGGTCAGTTCAACTGTCCTGAGGTATAGCAATAGACAATGGAGGAAACATTCTTGTGGCTGACTGTGGGAACCATCGTATTCAGCAATTTTGTCATCCACTGGGAAACACCTCAGAACAGTCGGTACCTGGGCAGTGGACCTCTTCATTCAGTGTCCAGTTAGGCATTACAGTTCATCCTCACACTGCAAGGTGTATGTTGCTGACTGTGGCCAACCACAAAATTCAGGTTCTAACTCCGACCTGACATACCTCAGTAGTTTTGGTAGGAATGGCTCTAACAATGGAGAGTCGGCTGGCCTTATGATGGTAGCTACACAGACCTAAGCTATGGCCAGGCTGTCTGTATCCTGATAAGTACACCTCAGAATCCATGTCCTTACAGTCGATGGAGTCTCTTGAGCAGTTTTGGGAAGAAGGGAGAAGACAGGATGACACTAACCAGCCAGTCGAGTATCTGCGTATTGACTCTGGCATGTAGTGGCTATGCTGGTGAACTGGGAACAATCGTATATTAATATCTCTACGGATGGCAGAGTTTAGAACAAACACATGCTATCTACTAGTGTAGCTAGCCTGTGTCCGACTCTGCTCAATGCTACTGGTACACAGCACGAACCACGGCACGAACAAACACATGCTATCTACTAGTGTAGCTAGCCTGTGTCCGACTCTGCTCAATGCTACTGGTACACAGCATGAACCACGCACGAACAAACACATGCTATCTACTAGTGTAGCTAGCCTGTGTCCGACTCTGCTCAATGCTACTGGTACACAGCATGAACCACGGCACGAACAAACACATGCTATCTACTAGTGTAGCTAGCCTGTGTCCGACTCTGCTCAATGCTACTGGTACACAGCACGAACCACGGCACGAACAAACACATGCTATCTACTAGTGTAGCTAGCCTGTGTCCGACTCTGCTCAATGCTACTGGTACACAGCATGAACCACGGCACGAACAAACACATGCTATCTACTAGTGTAGCTAGCCTGTGTCCGACTCTGCTCAATGCTACTGGTACACAGCACGAACCACGGCACGAACAAACACATGCTATCTACTAGTGTAGCTAGCCTGTGTCCGACTCTGCTCAATGCTACTGGTACACAGCATGAACCATGGCACGAACAAACACATGCTATCTACTAGTGTAGCTAGCCTGTGTCTGACTCTGCTCAATGCTACTGGTACACAGCACGAACCATGGCACGAACAAACACATGCTATCTACTAGTGTAGCTAGCCTGTGTCCGACTCTGCTCAATGCTACTGGTACCACAGCATGACCACGGCACGAACAAACACATGCTATCTACTAGTGTAGCTAGCCTGTGTCTGACTCTGCTCAATGCTACTGGTACACAGCATGAACCACGGCACGAACAAAACATTACCAAGTCCATTAATAGTCACATGCGTGTGGGTTATGTTTCATGCGATGAGTGCTTTTTAACCTCTAGCAGTCTTGCTGTCTGCAGCCTCCTCAAAGTTCTCCACTTCCTCTCTGTAGGCAGCTGAGTCGTCACCTGGTGGGCTATGGGGTGAATGGGAACCCCACTGTAATGGCCTCCTCCAAAGAGTAGTGCGTATATTTACTCCACTCTTCTTCTCTCTCTGGTCCCATTGTCTTCTGTTTAACCTTTGACGCCATGGGTATCCTGCTTAATTAAGCCAAATTTTAGGTAGAAGAATTTAGCTGCCTAGTTTATAACCCCCCCCTCCCACTGCATAAATTATTATGGACTTATGGAGGCTCCGGACACATTCCTGTGTCATGGCTGGTTAAGTGGTTAATACGTACATCCGAGCGACTTCCCTAGCTCCACAGAATCTGGCACTCTTCCTTCTCTCACACCACCACACACACACATTTTTCATATGTTGGCAAACAAGTGGCCTACCTAGTTCATCTGAATGTATTATACTTTCTCTGTCTTGCTGTGACGGGCATGTGAACGGGATGTGACGGGCATGTGAGAGGCAGTGACAGGAACTTGCACATACTGAAATGCTTTACGTGTTTGTAGATTACACGGTGAAAAATTAAACGTCATTCTACTACTGAAATTCCTTGCCAGTGTTTGTCCAGAGTAGTATTGTTAGTGGATGCCATTATGATGAGCCAGTTCATTTTGGTGTCGTTTATTCTGATAAACAGAGCCGCGGGTCTATGACCATGATGTGTGGTCTCATAATATCCATACAGCCACTGGGTCTACAATTGCAGTACTAAGCACGATGTGTATCTCAAAATATCCTACAGCCACTGGTCTAATGCAGTATATGCACAGATGTGTGTCTCTATAATATCCTACAGCCACTGGTCTAGGCAGTACTAAGCACGACGTGTGTCTTATATATCCTACAGCCACTGGGTCCTAATGCAGTACTATAGCACGAGTGTGTCTCGAAATATCCTACAGCCCTGGGTCTAATGCTTGCTATAGACGACGTGTGTCTTAAATATCCTACAGCCACTGGGTCTAATGCAGTACTATAGAATGATGGGTGGTCTCTATAAATCCTACAGCCACTGGGGCTAATGCAGATATAGCCCGAATGGGTGTCTCTATAAATCCTAAGCCACTGGTCTAATGACAGTTTACTATAGCACGATGTGTGTCTCTATAATATCCTACAGCCATGGGTCTAGTGCCAGTACTATAGACGATGGGTGCTCTATAATATCCTACAGCCACTGGGTCTAGTATGCCTGCTAATGCCCTCCTCCACAGAGTAGTGGTATATACTCCACTCTTCCTTCTCTCTCTGTCCCATTGTATTTTTTTAACCCTTTGGGCCATGGGTATCTGCTTAATTAAGCAAAATTTTATGTTGAAGAATTAGTGCCTAGTTTTATACCCTCACTAAATTATTATGGACTTATGGAGGCTCCGGACACATTCCTGTGTCCATGGCTATAGCAGACGTGTGTCTCTAGAATATCCTACAGCCGCTGGGTCTAATGCAGTATCTCAGTCCAATGAGAAAGTTCGCGGAAGAGGCAGACCGCATGCACCGTCAGAGACAACCTCAAGGCTGTGCAGGTATGTTGTGCAATATCCCCTTCTGTCGTCTTTGTCCTTGCAAGTTTCTTAGGTTAGCCACTTTCTATGTACAAGGCTCACCTACCTGTCTCTCTCTCGGACAGTCACCGAATCCATGATGTTGGTCTGTAATTGTGGTGAACCATGGTACAGTGAGAAGTCCCTCTGAAGAATAGTTAAAGCCTGGCCGGGGCCCACTTACTGAATACATGGCGAGAAAGATGCATATTTGACGTGTCTAAGTGTCCCTTGTTCAGCAGTGTTCACTGTATAGGTAGGTAGGGTGGTAGGTAATGTGTTTTTACAGGAAACATGTCAGTACATAATGCTATAGCAATTAGTGGCCAAGTGCAAACATGGGCCAAGTGCAATTATTTTAGTAACAGTTTCTACATTTAGTTAGCCCTTACGGAATATAGCTGTCGCATGCCAGAGCCAGCAGTGCGCACGTGCGCATGGGTCGTAGCTATCGCAGTCGTATTTCTCTCTTTCTCTCGCTGGAGGTCGACGACTGCTACAAAGTCACTATAAAGACCATATGTGCGTCCTATCGTTTCTATACATGACTAGAAAGTCGACCACGCGTTCCCATCAGATCACGTATAGAACTCTAACGCACCTTATCTCTTACTAAAAGCACTCCGTATACATTCACTAGGCACTACAGCGTGCCATACCCACAGGCTGACTGGGTTGGTAAATTTCTTCATCACAAAATGTGTGCCTTTTGTGTGATTGAGTGGTTTAGTTGACGGTCTCACCCTCACCACAGAAAAAGACGCGATGACCAACAGATGAACCCGCTGAAACTAGTCTTTTCCCTCCCTCCCCATTCGCTCTCCCCTCTTCTCCTCATCTCTCCATCCTCGGTCTCCCGGCTCTATCATCTCCCCTCTCCACCCTCTCTCCTCTCTCTCTGCTACGTCCACCCGTCTCCTCTCTCCTCTCTGGTCGCCCGACTCCCCACTCTTCCCTCTCCAGCTCTCTACCCCTCTCCTCACCATCGCTCTCTCCAGGCTACCTAAGGGAGCTCACCAAACTGAACGGCCAGTCCATCGCATCATTAGTCTCTCCCCAGGGGCCTCGGGTGAGTCCGTACCAGGAACAGTCACCACGGTGATGTTACATAACCACGTTCGTTCCATGTCCAGGTTGTTACTTGAACCTCCACACCTCAGTGCAGGGCGAGAAGCAATCTACTGGAGATACAGCGGAGATAGG